CACTCTGTTGCCCAGACTGGAGTGCAGTGGCCGCTCCTGGCCACCGCAGCCTCGACCTGCTGGGCTCCAGTGATCCTTCCGCCTCAGCCTTCCAAGTAGCCGGAATTAGAGGCTCGGGCTACCACGCCTGGCTGATTTTTTGATTTATTGTAGAGATGAGGTTTCGCTGCCCAGGCGAGTCTCGAACCCGCGGGCTCAGGCAATCCACTCACCTCAGCCTCTCAAAGGCACAGGATTACAGGCTGAGCCACCAAGCCCGGCCTCAGCTAATTTTTTATTGTAGAGATGAGGTCTTGCCGAGTTGTCCGGGCTGGTCACGAACCTGCAGGCTCGGGCTGTCTACTCACCTTGGCCTCCCAAACTGCTGGGATTACAGGCTGAGCCAACGAGTCTGCCAACCCTTTTTTCTTTAGACCAGATTCCCTCAGGGTCTAGCCTCCATAGAACCTGGGCCGGACAGGGCTCATGTAGCACCTTTGCGCTTGGTGCCAGCAGGGCCCCCCTGAGCCCAGTGCAGGACTGGGGCTGCTGCATGTGCCTCTAAGCAGCCAGTGTGCATTTTGGGGCCGTTTGCAGCACATGCTGCTGAAGCTCAGTGCTTGATGGAAATCTTCTGTCGCCAGCATCTGGCCCACTCAAGCAAGAGTGCGCAGGACGTGGGCAGCTCCCGGCATGTAAGGGGAAGTGCTCTGATGGGCAAGGGTGGGGCTGCGTGACCTTGTCCAGGGCCCAGACTGGGCTCTGTGGAGGGCATCCCCCGGTGCCCATCTCCAGCTGAGGCGGCAGGGGCCCCGCAGGAAGTCTCCAGTATTGACATGTTAGTGTGTGTGTAAACTCACGGACAGCTCTGTGTGCCCATCAGTCCTGGGCACTGGGGGGAGTGAGGGCTGAGGCCGTGCTTGTGTGTTAGTGGGAAAGTGGGACATGCTGCATGCCGAGTGTCACGTGGTGGTGGCACACGCAGCGGGAATGGGCCAGAGAAGAACCTGCTGCCTCGGCACAAGCTCAGCTGTCCTGTCCTGGGCAGGAGGACTCGCCCGTCCTGGAGCCGTGGCGTCGCCTCCCCGAGCGTTGGCCCTGTCTGGCCGCCGTGCTCTGAAGTGTCTGCTTCTTTCTGCAGGGAGCAAAGCTTGTACTGGCTCGCAATTCAGCAACTTCCCACAGACCCCATAGAAGAGCAGTTTCCAGTTCTCAACGTGACTCGGTACTATAACGCCAACGGGGATGTGGTGGAAGAGGAGGAGAACTCCTGCACCTACTATGAGTGCCATTACCCTCCCTGCACTGTGATCGAGAAGCAGGTCAGTGTGTGGCAGCCGGCCTGGCCCCTGGCCACCTCCCCCACAGCCCCCCTTGGGTTCGGGGTTTCAGACCCACAGCTGGCAGCTCGTCTGCTTAGCCACTCTGAGCCTTTCTGGCTTTTCCACCAGGGCGGCCCCTCTTTGCCATGATGCCAGCCTAGTCTGGGCACAGGCCTTCCTCCGGTCCAAGGTTGTGGGGGTTTTGCAGCTCCGTCAGGTTCCAGGAGGTAGCTTCTGCCCCACGCCGCCTCCTAGGCATGGTGGTGAGTTCCGTGCATTCTGTTTCAGCTCCGGGAGTTCAACATCTGTGGGCGCTGCCAGGTGGCCCGGTACTGCGGCTCCCAGTGCCAGCAGAAGGACTGGCCGGCCCACAAGAAGCACTGTCGGGAGAGGAAGCGTCCCTTCCAGCACGAGCTCGAGCCGGAGCGATGACGGGTGGTGGCGCTGCACACACTTGTGGCCCCGGGCTCTTCCCGGGGCGCAGCAGAGACAGACTGGTGGTTGGACCTGGAGAGGTCAAGCCAGCTGCAGGCCCAGGGCAGCTACCGAGACCCTGGTGTCACAGCAGTCTGTAGTGCTCGTCTCCAGCTGAGACGGCAGGAGTCCTGCAGGACGTTGCTCATTATTTATATGTTAATATGTTTGTAAACTCATGTACAGTTTTTTTGGGGGGGAGGCAGGGAGGGGTAGCGATTACAAATAGAATCATTTGCTGTAATCCTCAAACGGCAAACGGTCGGGCCACACGTCTAAGGATTGTCATGTAGCTGGAGCTTCTCTCCTGGGCCACGGGAGCACCCCCGGGCACGGCCTGCACAGGAGTCATGTCCACAGGGCAGAGTAAAGGGTGGAATCATCCAGCGTCTCGGCGGTTCTCTGCTCTCCTCCTCACCCTGTGTTGTTCAGGTTTGGGTGTGCCTCCGAGTGGAGCCCGGGAACCGCCTTGGACCTTCTGAGGGGCGGCACGATGTGCACAGACCTTCTCCAGCTTGGCTGGACGTGTGACAGAGGCCCAGGCCTGTTCTGGTCCCGTGGCCGGACTGCTGGCCATGTCCAAGTAAACTAGGGGGTGTTCTGTTGGCCATGGGATGCTCTAGACCTCGACGATGCGAAGTTCTTGCTGGAACTGACATACAGAGTGGTGGGAGCTCTGTGGGGAGAGGCCTGCCCAGAGGAGTCTACGGGCTGTGCCCACAGGCCTGCTGCCAGGAGCAGCAGGGGTGGGGCCGTGAAGTGCCACTTCTTTGTTTGTGTTCAGGGCTGTGGCCCCAGATACCCTGTCCTCTCCCTTTGGGGAGCCACAGGTGTTTGGGGGCTGGTCAGCAACTTGTGGGCCACCTCGGGGGAACATGCCCTGGCTGAGGTGTAGGCCGCCAGGCTGCATTGGGCTGTGTGTCCTGGGCCAGGCCACCCCATCTCTGGTTGGTCCTGCCATGCTTTCCCCTCCTGCAGCTCTGCTGTGTTCTGGGATGCCTCTGGCTGGGCACAGTTCCCTGGTGGCCTTTGTGAGCAGAGCTCCTAGCAGCTGCTTATATTTCCCGGGGGCCTCCCGGAAAACAGCACTGCCAAAAATGGATGAGGGCAGCGAACACGGGGGGTGGGTTTCTGGAGCTTAGAGAACCCCACAGAGCTCCCTTTGCTGCTCTGAAGTCTGGGGTGCTTTCTGCTGGGCGGCAGACACTTTTGGAGGGGGCTGTGTGTCTCAAGAGTGGGGCTTCAGCCTGCTGCTTGTTCCCAGGGCTGGGGTAACCATCCTGCTTCCTGAGTGCCCCGTGGCCAGGACTTGTGTGGCAGGGCTGTCCTGTGTGGGCATGCTGGGGTTTGAGGCAGTCTTCAGGCTTGGGGCCCTGAGTCCCTCAGGCGGCCTCCACAGGGAAGGCTGGGGACGAGGCACATCCGTCGGGCTCCAGGCTGTCTCGCCTGTGTCCTTGAGGGAGCGGCCACAGGGGCGCTTGGCCTGTCTCTCCCCCGACCCGCTGGAGAAGAGCGCCATAAGAAGCACCAGCGTCTCCGCCAATCCGAGGCCGCCGTGGGGAGGCCGCGGCGCAGGTCCCGGTTTGCCCCGTGGCGGCTCCTCCCCGTCCTTGGGCGCCACCGCGGAGGTGAGGGGCTGCTCTCACTCCTGCGTGCTCCCCGGCCCCGTGTCTGATGACCCGAGCTCCCGGTCTCGTGGCCCGCGGCCAGGTGCCCCGGGAGAGCCTTCGGGTGGGGGGGCTGGCGTCGGCCTGGGCGAGCCCCCGCGTTGGGCTGCTTGACCGGCCCGCAGAGACGGGGGCGCGGCTTGGGGGGGCCTGCGG